CAACCAAATCAACAGAAGAAGCCAACAACTGAAGAGGAGGAAACTGACCAGATTAATAAAGCAGGCCTATGTTGATCAACATTCAACCAATATTCACTATGTAGCTACCATACGTCAGAAACTACATATGTCAACACAGGAGATTCAAGAGTAAACTCCAAATTTCTACCCTCTTGAACCATATTTTTCATGACAAACAATATGCAATATCCTTAAGAATTAGATTAAGGATGGCTATTGAAAAAAGTTGAAGTCTTCAAATATTTTTGCAAAAAATGAACAACTTCTTATCCCCCCTTCAAAAGCCAAATGCCAAAAAAGGACTTTATATCATGCAGTCCTTAAACAATAATGAAAAATTTGTTCATCATTCCCTTAAAAAAACAGTATCTGAATTATTTCTTAATTATTAGAATTAGTGCATAATTGTAATGATACATTATGTGATCGTTAACAAAATACTAATTTATAAAGTTGCTTTCCTCATTTCTAGTTTTTGTTTTGAAGTCAAAGGCCTGACCTCTTTTCCTTCATCTACCATGTAATTTTGGTCCTCCTTTAAAATGGCTTAATTTTAAGTGGCCCAGTTTTCTTYTATCAATTACTGAGCAAAGATTGTGGTTAAGAGGAAGAACAACACCAACAGACCACAATCATCCAGCAAAACCATACTTGCAAAAGAAGGGAGACAAGTACTAATAAAAAGCAAAGCTAGGATCTAGAAGTGGCAAAACTTTAAGAATAAAGGGTCACAGAAAGAGAAATGGGGCAAAGAAGATAACAGAGTGGTCTACCAGCAGGAAATTGGAGAGTTGATACTAGATAGCCCAAGGGATTTGTTTGCAGAGGATTTGGTTATTAAAAATTAAGCATTGGGCTGGGGATGTGGCTCAAGCGGTAGCGCGCTTGCCTGGCATGCGTGCAGCCTGGGTTCGATCCTCAGCACCACATACAAAGATGTTGTGTCCGCCGAAAACTAATAAATATTAAAAAATTCTCTCTCTCTCTCTCTCTCTAAAAAATAAATAAATAAATAAAAATTAAGCATGATTGTGCTTCAGAATGTGGGTGTGGCCTTGTAAAAATCTAAACTAATCTTTTAAGGTTGACTTTTATTTGCCCTTGATTTTGACATCCTAGCATTAGTAATTTCATAATGCACACAGAAATATCACTTTTTGCTATTCTAATTTGTTAAATTTAGTGGGTATTTGAATCCCGTGTTTTTAATTTTCTGATAGGAAACCCATCCATTTGACTGAAAAATGAATATACACCCAAAGAGATGGTGGGAAAAGCCTTATAATCACCTTACAATATCTTACTGATCTTTTCTACCTTCCATCACACACAAGTAAACCACTTTTATTAGTCTCTTTATTTTTTAATTTTTGGTACTAGGGATTAAACCCAGGGCCTGGTACATGATAAGCATGCACTCTACTGCTGAGCTACAACCCCAAGCCTTATCAGTCTCTTTATACAAGCTAACACACACACACACACACACACACACACACACACACACCCCACATACTATTTTTCTTCCCCTTTTTCCTGACTAATGGTAGAATATTTTGTTCTGCATCTGACTTCTTTCCACTTAACAATTATATCTTGGAGATTTTTTTTTCATATCAGCACATAAATTTAAAGTGAATCTGCTAAATAGCAAGAGATTTCACTTGAGGTATTGTAATTTTTGGATAATCTGTATTTATTTAGTCAGTTCTCTATTATGGACATTTGCATGGCTTCCAGTCTGTCATTATTAAAAGCAGTGTTGGACTGAGTGTGTAGCCCAGTGGTAGAGCACTTGCCTAGCATGCATGAGGCCCTAGGTTCAATCCCCAGCCCTGTAAAAATAAATTAAAAAATAAATAAATGTAATCAGTGTCGTGAACAACCTTGTAGAATTGCCATTCTTCAGATGCGCAGGTATCCCTGCAGGATAAATTTCCAAAAGAGGGGMTGTTGCATCAAAGGATGTGTATGTGTATATCATTTCCATAGATTTTTGCTAAAGTCCCTCTACAGAGATTAAAATCAATTTACATTCCCACAAGCAATATAAGAGATAGTCTGTTTTCCCAAAGTCTCACCAGTAGTGTTATCAGACATTTGCATTTTCTGCCAGTCCAGTTGGTGAAAAAAAGGCTTCAATGAGTTTCAATTTGAATTTTTTGTTTCTTTTCATGAAATTGAACATCTTTCTGTGTCAAAAAGTCATTTGCCGATTTATTCAATGTACAGAAGAATAACAATGTTATTTGGAGAAAAATACTTGATAAGGAAGCTGACTTTGAATGTCATTCTGGAAAGAGATCTTCTTGTGCTTTTTAAAAAAGTATTATTTTTAGTTGTCAATGGATCTTTATTATTTATATGTGGGGCTGAGAATCAAACTCCGTGCCTCACACATGCTAGGCAAGCGCTCTATCACTGAGTTACATCCCCAGTCCCTCTTCTTGTGGTTTTTACTCTTATTTAAAGTGAAGAGTATGCTAAAAACATCAGAGCATGGGTTTGGCTGAACAATTTTAGCATGGGAAAGGGGACTCCCCCTGAGAACCTCTAATCTCTGACCAACCACCAAACTGAATGGCTTTATTGAGCTTCCCAGGGATCTGCACTGACCAAGGATGAGTAGAGAGCTCAAGAAATGTAACTTCACACATACTGAGGATCTTTTCAAGGATCTTACATCCTACTGAGGAAAGGCAGATAATAAACACAATAAATAAGTTAAAGCACATAATTTCTTAGCAAGGTGATAGGGGCTATGGTGAAAAATAAGACCATATGGGGRATCAGGAATGTAGGGTGCAATTTTAAACAGGGTGATCAGAACAGATCTCACTAAGATGATAATATGTGAACAAAGGAGGAGGTAAAGGACAATGCCTGGCACTATCTGGAGTAAGAACATTCTGGCAGTCAGCCAGTGCAAAGCATGGTTGGATGGAAGTATAAGGAGTGGGGGTAGAGGAAAGGAGGAGGAAGAAGCCATAAGATCAGTGWTAACAGATAAGGAAGGTTGGGAGAGAGCTGAGGGGTCCTTGGGGTTTAGGGAGAAGAGATAAGGTAAAAAAAAAAATTCTGGATTGGTGAATAAATATGTTACACCATGGTTTCTTGATGTCTGGTTCCTTTCTGCATTTTGTCCTTGTTTCAATTAAGTTTTCCAGAAGGGGCAGGGCAAGCCAATGCTCCAGCTGCTCACATAAGCAGACAGCAAACAACCCAAACTCCCCAGACAGACATGGGCACAGTTGGTACACTTTGTTGTTGGCTGATGGCTCCTGGCAGTAAGGGGACCATCTCTTGCCTTTTTCTCCTAAAATTCTGCTTTTCCTGTAGGCTTTTTTCCTTGTTAAATTTTAAACCCCTTAATTGGAATGAGCATCTCACAAATATTTCACTTTGTCACCTTATTTCCTCATTTCTGATTGTCCCCGGGGTTTACCTTGAGGCGATGTTAGTCATAACTACACATGGCCAGGCCCATGTGCATATCATATTATTCATATTCAGACTCAGGAATACACAGATATTTTAACAGCTCTTCATTTTTTTTTGCAAGTTGAAGGGAATCTATTCTGTCTCAGAAATGAGAGAAGGGAGATRGTAACACTTGGGACTGAGAGGTGCCATGAAAAACCCAGCCCAGGTTTCTTCCAGGGCACAAGACTAGCTTGGGGGGAGGGGGTCTCCTAAATCTTTAGAACATTTCTTCTTACAAGGCAATACTATGACCAACCCTAGAGATTTGCTGCTGTGTACCATTCTACCTGTCTGCATATTCCTTGCATCTTTCTTTAGACCCTAGTCCTCTCTTGTCTCACCTGTCTCCCCTTCCTCTCCATAAAAACAAAA